AGGTACAGACGAATTTCTAAAGTCCGAGTTCGGTCGAGACTGGGGACTATCAATTCAACGCACCCGGTCGGTTTTCGGTCAATTGTCCGAACTTCGACTGATGGTTCCAGCCCGAATTCCACACACTGTATCCAGTCGGTTTTCGGCCAATTGTCCGAACTCGGACCGAACCGAGAGGCTCGCTTCTCCACGCACCCAGTCGAATTTGGGACAAATTGCCTACCTTCATTTGAAACCAAAGCTCTGCTCCGTTTTCAACCAAGGATTCCAATAACTTACTAGCGAACGTATTAATGAATAAAAAAAATTAATTATCCTACCAAGGTTTCAAACTGCCACAAAGGGACTCGGGATTAAAAAAGAGAATGCGGATCCATGTCGGAGGTGGTCGGAGATCCATTTCCTGCCAGGTTGGATTCATTGAAAGCGTGATTTGGCCGTCAGCGATACTGATCACATTTAGCGAGGGGAGATCGAGTATGTTCTCGCAATAAGTTACACCATTTCGCCCTAGCACAGCAGTATGGGGAAAATGCCATTCACGTGAAACACTTGGCTCTGTAATAACATTGTTTTGCCCTAAATGAAACTTCAAAATTAAAACGAATCTCGTTATCTGCAGGGTGCGACTCCTGAGGGGGGGGCGGGGGCGGGGGCGGGGGCGGGGGGGAAGGGCGAGAGGGTCCCAGGGGCGATCGATCATGGGGTTAGTTTTTTTAATTTCATGAATGTGCAATTTCAAAAATGATGCCAACATGGATTTTTCATTGCTGAAAAATGTTCCTGTTTCTTTCCATCCTATTGAAAACGCTGAAAGAATGGGCCCACAATCGTTCCTGTGGGGCCAGAAGCATGTGGGTGATCGATAGTCCAAATCCTTGCTATAACACAGTCCTTGAACTGCTGCATGCTATTGTCTTTTTTTCAATCATCTTATGCGGAGAACATCTCTACTTCCTGGTAAAATTTTGAGAAGGGGCGCGGCGCCAAGCCATGGTCGTTAAGGACGGAAGCCAAAACAGTTTTTGAGAACCGCTGGCTCAGAAAGAAAGAAATTCGGAGTTCAGATGCTTAGTGGCCCAAGCGGGCTGCAGATTTGCCCGATAGGCTCGGCGGATCGGGTTCAGAATAGGGACCCGACAAACATGGAAATTATTCTCATCTTCCTCAGAACCGAATTTTTTTAATTGTCCGTATTCGAACCCTCGATTCCATGACCGATGCATTTCGTTTCGACAATCCCACTGCGACTCTACCTTCTCCACACGAGTTCGAGGAAGGTCCTTTTTAATACTTTAAGCTGTGATTTATTAGTCTTTGTTTATTTATTCATGAGTCTCGGCATTCTCGGCCCAAGCCTCCTGAAAAAAATGTTTTCGTCCTCGGAGGATTGGCGTCAGTGGCCTGCTGATAAAAAAAATATAAACTATGTAGTCTCGTTGCATCGGTCGTCGTTAAAGATGGCGACGCCTAAGGCTGACTTGCAGCAGCACATTTTCATCACATTTCCCTACAGAACAGAATATCAATTATGCAAAACCTGGAATAGCCAATGCGTCTGGCTAAACAGTAATTCAAGTTCGTAAAAAAAAGTCCCCGACAGATGGGCGCCTAAGCAGTTCAATTTGGATGAATAGGAAGTGATTTTCTGGAGGGAATAGTGACCCGTGATGAATCCTAGACTTATGACCTCGCGCCGTCTATGCAATGGAGACACGACGGTTCTCCCTATTCGAAGACCCAGTCCTTAGCTAGTGAGGTCATGGCACGCCTGTTTTGGGACGGGTCTGGGGTGATCCATGTCGATTTCGTAACACGTGGACAAACTGTGAATGCCGAATACTACTTGACTCTACTGCAGGAACAGATATGATCACTCACTCGCGGGAAGAGATCGGGTTCGTTCCAGGTAGGTCTGATCCTTGAGCAAGAAAATGCCTACGGCCCATGAAAACGATGTGCATACACGTATTGAATTAAATGGAGCGAGAGGTGTCGCAACATCCTCTTCATGGTGCCGACCTCGCTGCAACTGATTTGGAACTTTTCGGGCCGCTCAAAGAGTCTCTGGGAAGGTTGAAGTTCTGCAGCGATGAAGAGATGGACCAGAACGTCCTGCAGTTCTGTACACTACTCCAAAATACGTCTATGCCTCCAAATTAAATAAATTACGCCATCCATTACGTCATCCATTACGTCTCAAATTTTTTTTTAGTTTGATTTCTTAAGCAATTATTGGATTTAAAAAAATCTTTTTGTTTTCTGATGAGAAAAAAAAACTTGCCGCATAGAGATGAGTTCTGCCTCACAGCAATGATTTTATATGAAAAAATATATTGTCACGGCATAGCCAAGGGAAGCGCGATTCTTCCGGTGGCCGTTAGGTGGCGACGTCAGGGACGCCGCAGGTGTGAGGTCAACACGATGACCTCTTCTTAGTTCTCCTTTTCTCTGTATAAAGTCGCCCCTATGCTCTAATTTGGACAGCCGTCTTCCACATTGTATCGGTAAGTATTTGAAGATCCGGGAAGCCCCGCGCGAGATGGGTGAACCAGGAAATGATTGCTTGTTGGAATGGATTCGCGCGGCGAAAAGTGGGTCCTTCACGAGGCTGCCCTTATCGTGGGACAAGAAAGCTCTCTCTTAGACTTGTCACCATGAACGGTCTCTTGAGAGCCATCAACCAAGTCTCATTGGCCAATCTCTAGCATGTTGTCATATCTACTTCCCTTGTACCGGATTTATAAAACTTATACTTTAATCCCAAGAGGTGAAAAGTTACGGTGGTTGTCGTTGCCCCTCGTGCGGGCCTACGATGCAATGCCTTTCTGGGTATATATTGATAGAAAGAGGAACATGGAAGCATCGGACACGAATCTATTAAATCTAAAACGAAATCGTTACGTTTCGTTGGAACGCCCTGTACTTGAGTGTCTTTCGAAAGTCCAGGTGATTCTGAATTTCCCGTCCAAGGAAAATCATCTGGCTTCCTTGCACCGCTCTGCGAAATTATCTATCGCATCGAACTTCAACGTATATAATTTTATTTCCTGTAAACATGAAGATCTTCGACAGGTTCCCGATTCCAAAAGAGTTGGAATCTCTCATTAGCGTGCATGGGGAGAATTAATATTTACAATAACTCAGTTGCATTTTACTAATTTAAAATGAGTCTTCAATTGAAAATGACTCATTGACGGAGCACGTACGCATCGTTGGAATAAATTGCTTCCAGATAAAAATTCCTGCAATGAACGATCACTGACGGCGACGAATGCGAATGTTTTTCTAGTTAATATTTCCATTCGTGAAGACGACGCAAGCGTTTCATTCCATCAGTATGGAGATCTTAATTGTGGATCGCTTGCAATCGCGGTCCGAGGGGAAATGATGGATTCGAGGCTGCCGTGAACCCTTGATTCGTGGGTAATGGTCAGATGAGGATTTTCCTGGCAAGGAAAAGATGGCAGTGCTGCAATATGCAAGAATGCTGTCCGAAGTGCTCATCCGGGTGGAGTTGAGGCGGGGATGATCGAGCCGTCACAAAATTTGTGACGGCTCGATCCAGTTGTCCAGTTCAACCTCCCGCGATTCTTCAAAGGACACAAGGACCCCCTTGGATTCCGCTTCCGGAAGTTCAGGGAAGAAACGCAAATGCATGTTCGCATGCATGCAGAAGAAGGATGGGTTCCAAACGAGGAAGACTGCCAGTACCCAAAGGAACATCTTGGCACTGCTCTCGGCTTCTTGTGTATCCAGGTATATGAATGTAGTGTGGAAAAGTTCCACAATATACTCATTTCCAGTTAGACCAGCGTAGGTCCAATATCCTCAGTCATGAAAACTGGTTTCATAGGAAACGCACACAATATCCTGCGTATTTACTGCTTGTTTCTTTGATTGTTGAATTCATTTAAAGGTTTTCATAATTTAGTTTCGTAGTTATGAGTGATTCCACTGGGAATATTTAAGAAATGATTCGCTCAAAGGTAATTTGCACCTTGACATATGTAGATGCTATGATAGTGCCATTAATGATTGGGTTTTGTCATTGTTGGATCGCTGGAATTCATTTCTTGGTATAAAACTGTCTCTAAATTAGGACATCCCAGGTCTGGAGGACTTCAAGATCCTTGTTGCCCCTGACTGGGAGAGGGCGAGGCTGGAAGAAGTGAAGAAGTACATCAGTCACTACTTCCCAAGAATGCCCTAGGAGAAGGTCGATGCATAGAAAGAATTCTCTCCTGGGAAATGTCAACAGGTAGATCGTTAATTCCTACATGTGCATCACATTACGAGTAGGCTCCTCCCTTAATGACATTTTTTCATTCCGTCCTTCATGCGATTGCAGAGAGCTACCTCATACCTGGGTCAGCTTTCGGATCACAAGAAAGCATTGACTGAGACCGCGCCAGAAATCGACCAGGCATTAAACGAATATTTGTCTGGTATGGAGAGAGGTATCATAGGACCACTCCAACAGGTGAGAATATTTCCGATGCTATTATGGGACCAAGATTAAGGGTTTTGCATTATTTTTTAATGTTATTGACACCGCGAGAAAGACGAATCATTTTCCTTGTCTCGATATGATTGGTTACACAATCCTAAATTATATTCCGGGCACTCGAAAATCACCTAAAGATACATTCTCTTCTATCATTTAAACAATAATATGGAACGCGGTTTTGTTGCGGGCATGCGTTTATCTTCTCCCACCTATTCCTGAATATAGAAAGGAAATTGCAAATCAATTCCGAGAATTTTACATTGATGGTATGCGCAAGTGAGGATGTCCTTTCATTCCGCTTTTCCCATTCGGTATGTGGAATGCCCACGAGGGGGAAAAGCAAAGATCCTCGAACGAACAATTCGGTTGAAGGTTGGAATCACAGGTTCTCATCACTCCTGCCATCGAAGCATCCAAATTTGTGGACCTTCTTGGAAATCCTCCGCCAAGAGATCAGTTGCACGAGCGGTATGCTCTGGGAGGTCGTGAAGTGAAGTGCTACCAAACAATTTTTTAATTACTCTCGTATTTCAATGCATTTGAGATGTTTTGTTGCTCGAGCGGGACTCGACGAGAGATAACCGGCTGAATTTTCGCCTCGCATTTGCCGAGAAACCGATCTCGGGTTTCCCATCCCGAAGGAGAAAACGACAGATGTCGTTTGTGCTCGACGAAGGCGCAAGAGGACGAGGTTTGTTTATTTTGTAAAGTTTCCTTGCGTGTTGCGTCGTGTTTCGAGCGATTTCATTCCGCGTAGGCACATGTGAGGGGTTGCTGACCCTCTGTATGTTTGCTTGGCAAGATTATGCATATTTAGAAGCACGATTTCAGTAATACTGTATGATATATTTGTGGTGATGAAAAGGGCCTCGAGAAGAATAATTCCTACCACAAACATAAACATTTTTGCATTTGGGGAAGAAAAAAAGAATTTCTCAAAGTTAGAGCCTCTACGAGTGGGAAAATAAATCGCACTGAAATTCGTCATTTGTACATAAGGAAAAATTTTCTCCCAGGGAATGGTTAATATATCAGCACAGAGCGAGTAAAAAATTGCCAAGTAAAAATTGCCTTACGTCTTCATTCAGTCGCTGTTGCTGAATTTCGGAAAACCACTTCTCTAACTTATTGCAACGACTCTTCGTATGATCTTAGTTGAGATGAAAATTCATGACAGCTTACGTTACGACTCAACATTAAATAATTTTCCAATCTTCAAAACTTGCGAGCATACTTTGATCGTCCAGCGATCGTAATTTTCCTGAACGCTCTTTCGTGCGAAAGGAATTTCAAGATTCAATATTGGAAAGAGGCAATTGGGCAAATCCCTTGCCAAGGGATTTGCACGATTGGCAGAATTGCTTACCGTAAGGTAGACCTGCTCTTCTGAAGATACTTTTCTTTTTCTTTTTAAGGGAAGCAGATAAGCATTAAGCCAAGTCGACTACTGCATATCCACCCAATGCCTATTTGCTTACATCGATTGCCCCCTTTTCTTTACTTTTAAGGAAGGCATCTTACCTTCTCTTAAAGGTATTCATTACCTTAGAGATAAAGAAATTGTGTCTCGACTCGAACGGTACTTGTACTTTACTTAAATTGATTTCCTCTCGTTCTGACGCTGCCATAGAATTTGAAAAATCGCTCCACGTTGCGGATTCCTTTCTTGATTTTAAAGGTCTGGATGAGATTAGCCTTCTCTCGAGCGAGAACTGTTAAAATCGACTTTCCTTTGATGTCGGAACCTAAAGAGTAACCAGCATCAAAATGCACTGAATGTGAACATTAGGAAGACTAAGGTAATGGATTTTTCATCACACCACTGCATCAAAATAAAATCAAGGCAGGAGAAGGACTGGAGATGGTCAAAGAATTCACATACCCTGGAATTATATTCAATGAAAGAGAACATGGAAGAGACACATGAATTTCCGATTGAGCGAAAAGAAAAAAGAAAGCGAGGGTAGCACTAGATGCCTTAACACCAGTTATGAGAAACGTCTCTTCGTAGCCTCTACCACTGGATATGAAGTTATATGAAGCCCTGGTGAATTCAGGACTCTTATATGGAACAGAAATAGTTAATGGGATGGACTATGGTCAATTTTACTTCTTGGCAGCAAGGTTTCTGAAGGGGTTGCTCAAAATGCCTTGATACTTCCCAAATGTTACTTTGTTTACAGCTTTTACTCCCCAATCTCTCGAGACTGCACTTCCAGCCAGGTTTGGGTTTGTGACTCAATTTAAAGAAATACTCAAATGACACTCTCATGAGAAATGCTTTTTTAGAACAACGAATCACGTTGGAAAAGGGACGAAGTTGCTGGTTGAAAGAGGTGCGTGATGTATGAAGTAATGTTAAAACCAATTTTCCCTCGTTCAACCCCCCCCCCTCCCCATCCGTCTATAATAATGTAACTCAATAATGTTGGGCCTCGGCATAACCAACAGACTTCCTTTAGGTCACCCGAAAGCCTACCTTTATTTTTTAACGAAAAAACTCAATTCTCGACTTACTTAATTAGACCTCTAAGGATGAATCAGTGGGCTTCGAGATATCTCGTTGATGACGTGTAATGCTAAGCCAATCGCAAGCCTATTCATACTTTCACGAACCATTGCGGAGAGGAGATCCCAAGCAGCATGTTTACGTAAACAAGATATCAATTCTTTGCAAACAATGTCTTGGTCGAGCGTTCGTAGCGTGAGGACGTGTTCGATGATACTCTCGAGGTTCTGTCAGCTAAGTC